CAGTCCCATTAGAAGTCACATCCCAGATATGAATGTTAGTAATAGGAGTGATCCAGTGCAAAGGAAGCCACAGGAATATGATGGGAAAGCACCTTGGGAAGCATATAGAGCACAGTTTGAGCTACTGGCAGAGATGAATGGATGGATAGAGGAGCACAAAGCAGTTTATCTGGCAACTAGCTTGAAGGGACAACCACTGGAAATACTTGGACAGTTGCCAGCAGACGACAGGCACAACTATAGAACACTGGTGTCGGCTCTAGAACTCAGATACGGAACCCAAAATCAGTCAGAAGTCTGCAGGGCCAGGTTCAGGACGAGAGCTGGCACAGGACTTGGAAAGTATGGCACACAAGGCCTACCCAACTGCACCACCCGATCTCCTCAAGTTGTCGCTGAGGGATTAGTTTGTAGATGCCTTGGACAGTCCACAACTAAAGATACAAGTGAAGCAAGCACACCCCTCTACTATGCAGGATGCAATGGCCATAGCTCTCGAATTTGAATCCTACATTAAGTCCAGCACAGAGGTACCAAAGCTGGTACAGTCGTCTGGATTCAAGGCCAGAAAAGGGCAGCTCTCAGAGAGGTTTGAGGGACTTTGCTGGCACTGTAACAAACCTGGGCACAAGAGAGCTCAATGTTGGCAACTTCAACACAGGGAAGATGCCACAGCAGGAAATGCTGCTACCCAGAAAGGTTGTTGGAACTGTGGAAAGCACGGACATTTGAGGAGCCAGTGTAGGAAGAATATCACCAACATGTCGGCCTCAAGGAGACCAGTAGTGGTTGGTGTTGAGGGACACTCACCAACCCCCATCATGAAAGTCCCTACAGCTAGGTGTAAAATGCCAAGCACACACAGCATCTGTGTGACAGGAAAGCTGGATGGCCAAAGGTGCAACTTTGTCATAGACTCTGCATCTCAGCAAACCCTTGTGAGCATCAAGGTGTTAGATTACGAAGGAGTACCAGAAGCCATACAGAAGCTTTATGGTGTGACAGGACATTCTACAAGATTGTGGGGACCAGTGTGGGTAACTATTGTGCTCATGGGCACAAAGGAGAGACAGAAAGTATACTTGGCTGACATTGAAGATGAATGCATCTTAGGATTGGACTATCTACTACCAAGGAAGTTTGTAATTGATTTTGATAAAATGATGTTTGGGAACAACAAAGGCCAAGTTCCGGTAACTGTTAAAAGAGAGGTTGAACTAATTAGGTGTCATTGGGCTGAAGTCAAGCCGACTGAAAAAGTTGATGATGATGAAATGGAACTAAATACAATATCAAAGCAGAACAGGAGAAAGCCAAGATTTGAAGCCAATGATTGATTTCTTAAAAGCAAGTGTTTTGCGCCCTGCTTGGGAGAAGGTGTCTCGTCTAAGCCCTGTGACAAAGCACTATTGGGTGCAAT